TTTTTTTTTTCTTTATGTAGATTATGTGATGAATTTAAATTTAAATTCGACGCCTTCGCCTTTCCCGGTGACGCAACACCAAATTACCGGAGGCGATAATATTGTTCCGCCTTTCAGCCCGAATGATCCTTCTCTGTTTTCCGTCTCATGTCGTATTTTCTTGAATTCGACTAAGGATCACCGTATGGGATACGATCATCACGATGATCACACGGAATTATACCGGCCTCAACAAATTTCGGTATGTTTTAACTAGGCACATACTAAAAATCATTAGAGTGATTAAGATAATGTGGTTAGTCAACACTTAATCTTCTTTACTTTGTATTAATATATAATTGATTGTACTTTATCAAGCACTAGACCAATTTCCTCTTGGTTTAACTTAATCATGTGTTTTGATCATTTGTTAGAATGGAAACCTTGGTGGATCAATATATGAGAACAAGAACAATAGAGTTGATCAAAGTGGGCTCAAATTAACCCTATGGCAGAAAGAAGATCACAAAGAAGACGTTGACAATCGTCCCGTGAAGTGGATGTCATCAAAAATGAGAGCAACACACAAGATCAAGAACAACTCGGGTCGACTAACTCTAAAGATAACCAAAAACAAGCTCGAGAATCAAATAACCTCATCTTTCCAAAGTGATAAATCGAGTTGCACCGGCTCCTACATGACCGAGAGCAGTCCGGTTAGGGTTTGTTTCGATTGCAACACCACCAAGACCCCTCTTTGGAGAAGTGGTCCCAAAGGACCTAAGGTAACTAATTTCACATAATAACTATAAACAACATTAATCCTTTTTTATTTTCGTTTACTAGAAGTCGAACAAGATATTCTATTTCTTATACAATGTTGTGTTTGGGCAGTCCCTTTGTAATGCATGTGGAATTAGGCAAAGGAAGGCGAGGCGGGCTATGGCGGCGGCGGCAGCAGCTGCCGCTGCCAATGGGACCGCCTTTGCCGCCAGCGATCATGAGAATCCGGTGAAAATGAAGATCAAAGTGAAGTACAAAGGGAAAAACGCGCACTCAAAGAAAAGGTGCAACATAGCGACTAGTGAAGCCGGGTCGCAATCTGACAGCCAGAAAAAGATAGGGTTCGAGGATTTCTTGATTAGTCTAAGCAAGAACTTGTCTTATCACCATGTTTTTCCCGAGGACGAGAAGGATGCTGCTATCTTGCTCATTGCTCTATCTTCCGGACTTGTTCACGGTTGACTTCATAAACATTCATAATTTGCGTCGTTGCACGAGTTTTACTCGGTTCGTTCGTGTTGACTAGTTAATCAAAATGGAGTTGGATGAATTTCTAGGCTTGGCACTTGAATGTGTGGAGAGTACTGTTTTTTTTTTTTTT